AGCAAACGTTGCTGAGAGTCATGCTGTTCCGCACAATATATTCGGACCGTCACGTGAATTCTCAACAAGTAAATGAATACTTACCTTCGAAAGTATTTCATGCCATTGCCAGATGAATGACGCAACCGGGTAAAGTCAAACTCAACAGCTACAGACGGACAAGAACGAAGTTTTCTCATGGATTTACACCAAAGGCTAGGCCCAGAAATACCAGCAATGTGCGAAGCATCCGCGACGCCCGAAAGGTGTCGGGTATACAAACGCACGGTGGTGTAAAATAACATGGAGACCCTCCGTGCAGGTCGTGCCCCAACAGCACGCGAGGATTTCATCTCTCGTACAAGCGGCCAGATCTGCAAGGTGGCAACCCAACGAGCAGTTATATTTGCTGCTAGTGCAATAACAAAGAATTCAAGCTACCGGAAATTTGGTTCGGTCATTTGAAACGAGCAAACAGCAATAGTCACTGAAAAGCTAGTATTAGTGAACAGGCAATTACCACTAAGGCCATTGGAATAGAATGTAGACGGCCAAAACGTAAAGACCATAGCGCAACCAATGGAGGAGCATTTGATGTGTTTTTAAGTCAATTAAGTAAATAGTGGCCGATGACTAAAAGCACACCAAAATTATTTTTGCCCCGACTACAGAATTTTCGAAGTTGTGAATTTACCGAGGAGTTAGTCTAATTCATTTGCGCCTTTCGGTGATATTTTGTTTGTAGCGTTTTGTTTAAGTGAGCGAAATATCAGGGCCACGGACCACCAACAGTTCGTATTTTTCGTCGGTTAACATGATATAAGACACGAAATAAGCAATCTAGCATACCTTGGCGCTCCCCAGTGTTCTTTAAGAATAAAAAACATCTAAAGAATATCTACTACAAATTTCACCCTGGGAGACCAGGTTTGACGTTTTGTTTGCCTTGCACACCTCAGATTTAATAAATGAAATGATATTTTCCGCGAACTTGTTCACAACACATTTTCTCACAGATCTCAACTTCCACTGAGCACAACGTCGTTGGACAACGGCATGAACTGTGAAGTGGCAACGCAAGGATGATCCCCTTTCCCAGACATGCACACCTAGTCTGTAGATAAGACGGCGTCGCGAGATAGCTGCAGGTATCATTCCTATTATGAATATGACGCTCTATAACTGGTGACCGCCATGAATCGGCAAACTCACTACTCGCTGAATTGGTCCAATTGGCGATAATGAGGGAGTCATGTGTATATCGAGGATTCGATAGCGGGTTTCGGCAACCGTATGCATTATCGGGTGTGGCGAAGGTCAAGTCAAAAAGGGAGTATATACTTGTCAGTCGTAAGACCAAGTGGTATAGACTTGAGCCTTGGGATTCCAGGGCCACACGCATCCTCAAGCGTCCAGCCGTGGATGCAGTCGTAACAAAGATCTACTGAGTGGGCGGGTGCTTGATCACAAATCCGCTCGTTTAGAGCACTAAATCCATAATTCACTCGATTTCTACTCTCTGATACCAATGCAATGCAGCTTATTAAAATCGACAGCTCGGTCTTCCTCATGGAAACTCGTACCCATCACACACTGAACCACATCAACAATCTGGCCAACAAGGAGTACCCTCACGTTCTGAACCAGCTAGACTGTTGCCGAAGCGCTCATCTGTACCGTGTTGAGTTGCTGTACAGTCGTGCAACTACGTGGAGTTTTTGTAGTGGCCAAGCTACGCAGAAAGCTATTTTAGCGGGAGTGTGGCAAGAAATAAAAAGAATGACGGTAGATTGATTATACAATAATAAAGGGGTCAGATGGAAAGGACTCTCTAAGAGTTGTTCTCTTTGAAATAGTTTGTATTTCTCCAGGTCAGCAAGTAAACAATAATCCAATCATGGTTGTCTTGTGAACAGTTTTCAGTAATAGATTTCGAGGATAGTCTGAAATATGAAACCAGGGTTAGCTCATGCGAGTTGCGAATGACCGCTTTAAGCGCTAGCAAAACCACGTTTGTATTGCGTGAACTTGTACGGGTACGCGTCTTTGTAGTTTTTCGTATTCAAACAAAAATGTGTTACGCAACTGACAAAATACGTAACGTTATATAAGAAGCAAAAGCAATATACAAACCACAGCAGTCCTCGGCTTCCTGCTCAACCCACTGTGGTATATGAAAAGGCAGTGCACGTTTTGACAGCCCATTTTGGGAACAAAAGAAAATTATTACAACCCTACTTGTAGGGTGTCCAGCAAGTCGTGCTAAAATCTCTGTTGGGGGGGGGGGGCGAGTATTGATCTATAATGCTCGCTCCAGAATGGCCGAAATTTTGACCAATCCGGGCGTGCCTTCATTTGGTCCGTATCCGCACGTGACGCAGTCGTCCATTTGACGTCAGTCACTATGGGCGGTTGGTATCCGGACACACAAGCTACCTCAGTCTTTGTCTTGAATAGCCGTCCATAGTCACACCTAAAGGGACCTGGCTCACACCAGCTGTTGCTGACGCGCAGATCTCGATAGACGGCTACTCCATTTTCCCAACCAACTCGAAACTTGGGGTAGGGGGAGGAGCAGGTGGGGTTGGTTTATGCTTACATGCGGCTCCCTCCATCCCCATTGTCTCCATACTCATTGTTGATCCAAAACCCGCTGCATGGGATCGGTTCTCTTCTCGGTGTGTTATATATACCACGCATCTCTCGCCGGTAAGTGGTTTTAACGCTCCAAAGTTCTGGATGGCAATCCTCCGTATTGAGTGTTGTCGACACTGCATCGGCGCTGGTCGAAGTCGTTCAATAGAAGCCTGGATCGAATGTCGTCGCACTCACCAGATACCGCGCAGGCCAACTGACATTCCTCCTGGACTTCATCATCACTAACGAAAGACACTTCGTTGATCAGGTAACAATTAACGCTCCATTAGGACACAGCGACCACTGTGTGCTGACGTTTGATTTCATCTGCTATTGGGCCAGAAATCACGAACCTCAAACGTGGTTTGAGGTTGGAGACTTCGGCCGTGCAGACTTCTCAGGAATGCGCATCTTTCTTGAACAATTAAATTGCGACCGGCTTCAGTGGAAGAATTATATGGGACCATTGTCCACAAAGTTCACGAGGTTGATGCGATGTCCGTCCCAAAAAAGCAGCACGCACTCGGACGAGCCACAGACTGCAAAAAAGGATTCGGTGTCTTCTGGAAAAGAGGCCCCACCAACTGACTCGAAATTTGGGGTAGGGGAGAGGAGCAGGTGGGGTTGGTTTATGCTTACATGCGGCTCCCTCCATCCCCATTGTCTCCATACTCATTGTTGATCCAAAACCCGCTGCATGGGATCGGTTCTCTTCTCGGTGTGTTATATATACCACGCATCTCTCGCCGGTAAGTGGTTTTAACGCTCCAAAGTTCTGGATGGCAATCCTCCGTATTGAGTGTTGTCGACACTGCATCGGCGCTGGTCGAAGTCGTTCAATAGAAGCCTGGATCGAATGTCGTCGCACTCACCAGATACCGCGCAGGCCAACTACTATCCCTCCTGGATTTGGCCATTACCAACGAAAGACACATCAACGATCAGGTAACAACTAACGCTCCGCTGATGCTGCATTTCATCTGCTACTGTTCCAGGAATCCGGAGCCACAGACGTGGATTCGGAATTTCTACCGTGAAGACTTTCCAGAAATGAGTAGCTTTCTCGCACTTTTAAAACAAGGACCAAGCTCAGTGAATGAGTTAGACAGTACCATTGTCCAGAAAATTCACGAGGCTGACGCAATGTTCATCCCAAAAAACGAGCGTGCATCTGGATGGACAAAAAATTACTTCAGGTCCGGTGTCTTCTGGGAAAGAGGTCCAAACGTTTTTCTAAAGGATAACTGCGGGTGACACAGAAGACCAGCCGGCTTCTCGTAAGAGCGGAACTGTCGTAAATCAGAAATCCATCAATGGAATATACGAACACAAGCCGTGGTACCAGACCTCGCCCAGAAAACAAAAGTGTGCTATTGAAGTACATCAGACAACGCCTGAAAAATGAGCTTGCAACCTCCTCAGGGACAACCAAAGAACCCGCAAGTAACCCAATCATGGTATCTGAAGTCTACAGAGAACACTATGCAGGCCTGCATTCAGCCCCAGCGACCTCATCACATCCGATCTTGTCAAGACGTATTTACGAATTGCCTCTAACCGACATGATCTTCGCTGAGGACACTCGTCAACTCTTGCAGAGTATGAAGGAGATAACGAAACGCTTGGGTGCTGTCGGTGCTACTCGACTTCCAGGATGGGGACCGCGTGATCCTCACTATGCCTGGTTGGAGACACTACAAGATATAGCTGCCAACCGATGTCAGTGGCGTTCTGGAGGCATGATCAGTTAGTTTTCCATTTTTTCAGTCGTAACCACCTTGTAGAGTGGAACATTAGCGGAACGTTGGTCGTGACGTCATTAGTTACACGTAAGCTGGGATACTGTTTGGGTGCCCACTTTTAAAATGGCTGATGACTAGTGCCGTTAACCAAAGCCTTTGGCTAGAAAACATGACTTCAAGGAAGCAAGTGGCAGCTGCCATGCCGTAACCACAATAGCATAAGTTTTTGTGGAGCAAGCCGTCTTGTCTTTTCAAACCCCAATCCCGGAGGACCAGAAATCAGTGTCCGTCAAAACTCTGTCTGCCAACCGACCTGGTGTGAGAAACTCCGCAACTGTCAAAGTGAAACCCCTAGTATAGGTCGGCGGGTGATAGAGGTACGCAAACCGCCACACTAAGCTAAGGTTTAGTCTCTTTTCAGCGGATATTGTTGACAACTTATTCTATCACCTTCCAAATCACAAGCATTAAAGAAGCATATCTGTAGTTACCTGGGTCATTTTCATCTTCTGGTCTGTACGAGGGGTACACACCCGCTAACTTCCATTGCTCAGGCAACCGCCACCGCCCAATGAGTGCTGCTGAAACTCGAGTGGAATTCCGTTTGGAGGCGATGAAACCGTAGCATGTGCTGGCAACTAAATGTCTGTTTCGAAAGTTCGCATTAAAACTTGATGCTCGCGTCTTCCGCTTTTTCTGGCAAAGTATCAGATTAACTTACGGTTGTACCATAATAGAGCACTGACCTCAACGTTTTCTCTGATAGAAAATCGCGGGGTGGTGGTCAGTGTTCTCAGAACCTTGTCGTCCATTACAGCGATACTTAACACCCTGGTGACAACTTAAACGCGTACCATTTCAACAATTGGCTGGGGCTAATCAATTTATTCCAAAATGTAATAGGAATTTCTTACACATTTTAGCCGAAATCATGAAGGTTGTTGGCATAATAATGGGGAACGAAAAGGGACGGAAAATGAATCTGGATGCATTTTTGACAGCGCATCAGTAAGTAGCTGTTTTTCGGATCTTGATGTTCTATGCAGTTCTCCATCACTGCGGTTCGTTAAGGTATTGTCGTATTTCGCTTTACTAACCAAGCATTTCAGCTTCACTCTATTGATGATCTTGAGAGCATAGAGGTTGATGCGATAATCCAGAAGATACCCGAGCTCCTGAACTGCCACCTTTCTTCAGATGACGATTGCGCTAAGCGTTTCGATGTAAATCTTCACCATCATTTGCTGAAGTTGATTTCTAGGCCTTTCTGAGAGTTAATCCAAATGTTGTCTGCATCGATCCGCCGAATAATGTCCGATTGCTTTTGTGGCGTCATGAACAATTTTTGTTAATCGAGAAGGCAATGAAGTCTTCAGATCTAGGTAAGTAAATCCACTTGTGTCACTCAATTTCGTGTGTTTTCGTGTTTTCTGGTGGGAAATGACAAGTCATCTTCAACTGGAAGATACTTTTGTATACCATGGCCTTCACTGCGTGTTCCGTGTCACGACGTAGTGACGAACCATCAAAGCTGGAGGAACCAGGAAATCTCTACGTTAATTGTCGCCCAACCTCAGGTCATCTGTCATTGGTAACGACAGACCTAGCTATTTTGGCTTCCAGTTGGGGAAAAATCGATTGGCAGTAAATATCATGTATGAGATAAGGAAAAGTAGTCCTGAAGCAGCATGGCTTCATTGTACATTCGATGCTCTCCGAAGGAACCCTCAGGAGGTCAACCTACACAGGACAGTTGCGGCTCAGCTCTTTCTATATTACCGTAGGTTAGGTGGAACAGTTGTTTCGAGAATTTGGCTAATTTAGGGGTTTTCAAGCCTTCGTTATTTCTCATTAATGTGGAAAGAAATGCCATTATATATATATATATATATATAGTAGGATTGTGCTCCCGTTTTCTGTCTGACAAATACCTCGTCGTACGGTGTTGGACACGCGCATACGAGTGAGTACACTCAAAAGCTGGTGGTAAGCCTTCGTAGCTGTCCTTCAGTGGGAACGTGATGACAGAAGTGCTGAGGTCATTCTTGTTTCCTAGCCACTAGTTAATCAGAGTGGTAAGTGAATCCTGTTTCTTCTGTACGCAGTGGATCTTAGTGCTACAGACCACATGTTTTTTTCCAATGAATCGTTGTGGGTAGCCATTTGTATTATTATTATTATTATTATTATTATTATTATTATTATTATCATTATCATTATTCTTATTATCGACAACATGACATCAGTGTTCGACACTGGTGTTTCGCTACCATGATTTATTTATTTATTTATTTGAAAGCCTTATAAATAAGGTACTAGAGAAAATTCCAGGGATGTGGAGTTGTTGATTGCTTGGGTGCCATGCTGATGAGTAAAAATGTATGCAAATGTAGTGAATGAACGTCACATGCCCCTAGGGTTCTCAGGTATTCGTAATAGGCAAGATTGAGGATCACCGTCTTGCGTTTTCGCCCTGTTGGTTTACACGTATGTCAGCTGCACATCGTGATCGGCCGAGTGTATGAGCATACGTCGACGCATTGTGCCGTAGTATACCACACTTTTGGAGTTACACCCAGTTCTCTATCTTTCTGTTGTAGCGTATGAGCTAGATGAGTTATCCAAACGACTTTACTGTGATTGTGGAATGTTTTCAACTTTGTAGTGAAAACGTCATTATGGTAAACACTGTAATCTGTTTAAGTCCCATCCGGTGCAGTTCAAATCTTGGAAAAAGGTCATCATGACAAGCTTATTTGTAACTCTACTGGAATTACTAACCGTCTCCTTGAAAACCGACGGGATTCAATTATTCCAGCCTAACGAACTGTTCCCAAAGTGGGCGAAGTACGTTGCATTCCTCGGAAATTTGTCGGTTCTGACGATATGGAACGTGCGATCAGTTGCTTATATGAGGGTTGAGGCGCGAGTTAATGACGAGCATGTACATGGATCGGTCCCTGCCTTGACTTCACGATTGGTTGGCACTTATGCTTCCTTCGGGTTGAATCGCAGTTATACACCGTGACGCTGCCACAATTAAAAAATTCACTCAAACAATCTGGCGGAAACGCTTGTTAGTCATCGTGGATGGTGACAACAATACTTTGCATATCAACATGCAACTGCATGCGTGGTGCAGTGTAACTGCGGAAAGCGACTCCAGTGTATCGGGCGTGGCAGTTATAATCCTGCTTCAGAGATTGCTGAATAAGAAGCAAGAAGCCTTTGTCTTGATAGCTTAATGGTCGAGCCACGCAGCGGTTGAATATCACCGAAAATTATTTTCCGAACTTTTATGCAGGAATCATGACAAATGACACTCACTTTGTTTCCACACCTGCCCATATGCGCGTGCGTTCAGCACTTCACTTCAGGCCATTCTAGCTAACATTCCCAGCATCCAGTCTTTTTCTCTAGATAGGGTTTATGTTTGTGAGCACCAAGGACGTTTCAGATGCGTTGCCGTCATAAAGAAATGTTTTCTTGTAGTGAAGCTTTACTGTAATGCTGACCGCCGCATAAAGTGTTCTGTGTCAAACAGCTACTTTTGTATGAGTGATATTTACTGGTAAAAAAGGTGGGAAACAAACAGGGCGTCAGTAGTCAGCACAATCCGTCAAAAACATTGCTTCTACCTTTGAGTCTGTATTAGAAAACAATATCCCTTTGTTGGACGTTTTGCTTATCAGAACTACCTATATGGCACTGTGTTTCGCTGCTTTCGCCAAAAGCCTTCAGGGACCGTCCAGTGCCCAAACTTTGTTCCGTGTAGCACAAACTTTAGGTGATAGAGCAAAACTCTCATCCCAGGTATCCTGACCGTATCTGAAAGGACAGCAGTGGAGCAAAGCAAATCACACTTCCGAACAGGCCTTTTACCCAGAGGCTTCCTACAATACGTTAAAGGCAGGTGCGGGGGACGAGATAGCTCAGTGGTTAGAGCGATTCAAAGGTAGATGGACATTAGGCCCTTTCAGGGGTGACAATATGTCCAACCTGCATGTGTTATGGGTGTGATTCAGCAGTCTGTTTGACTTTTCGGCAAAACTGTAGGTTGACATCTACTGACCTGTTACATGGTTTCATGGAAGTCGTGCTTCTATTGTCCCTATCTGTCTTGGCGTCAGTGACAAGCTAGTGTCTCCGCAACTCTTTAAGGCGAGATGGACCAAGTGGTTAGAGTGCGAATTTACTGCCCGGGAGGTCCGTGGTTCGAACCTGACCTCTGCCACTCGACTTCCCCCTGTCTAGTCTTAGGCAACCTGGCAGTATCCCAGCCCTTGTGCCTCCTTCGTGTGGCATGGCAGCTAGGCACCGAAAGGGTGCTACAGCTGGACGATTTATATAATTGTTTGCAACTCTTTAGTGATGTCTTACTGAAATGGGAAATCTAGACACGAGAAATTTTCGGATTTATTGTTTGGTAACGTCTTGCCTCGTTCGTTATCCACGTATCAGCTGTGCTGTACTGTGGCTGGTGTTTGATGTGCCAATATACGAGGTAAAGCCTTATATGCTAATATCCCAACCTTGCTTCCTCGTGTTTCTTGGTGAAGCGGATCGCATCTGTGTGCCGCCGTTTTGTACACTTGATTTGAAGGATCCCGCCATCAATGTGAAACGAATGCATGCGGCTTCATTGAGATTTCCACTCAGTATGTTCCCATCACTTTGTTTGAATGTTTTATTATCTTTGTCGTCCAATCTAACGCTATAAATAATGTCCTTGTTGAGAGTTTTTTTCAACAAGCCTTAATCTGTGAATCGAAAATCCACATTTCCGGCTTTTCTGGATCCGACCGGTTAGTTTTAGTAAGACCAATCGTTTTATTGTGACAGCTTTCTGGAGTTCGACCACATCTTTATCATAACATGCGAAATTTGTGGCTGATTAACGGAGTAGCCACATAATTTTGTCGAGGATTGGGCTACGAGGGGATTTATAGTTTGGTCAGCGTTCTCTAGTACTCCGCTTGCTCTTGATTTTTCGCGTTTGAGGGTCCCGCGTGTCTCATCGTGGCCGCTAGTTACCGTTATGATTTTTTTCTGGCAGAAATAATCTTTACCGATGTGGACGATATCCAGCATCGACGTGCATTGCTGTTATTCTAACCAGACAACCGTTCGACTGAATCAAGCCCGTGGACTGAGTACAACCCCTACGCCATGTACACCCCGAGCTAATACCTCAGGATAATCGGATATCCGAGGAGTGGTGAATAAGATATCTGGGCTCATCCTGAGTGATTTGGTGTCCACGACCGAAGCAAGGTCTTGTGTAAATGTTCCGCAGACAACGTACATCTATGGAAAGAGAAAGCCAAGTTTCATCAAGAGATGCCTGTGACCCGATGTGGCTGGGAGTAATGACACTGGAAGCTGCAGTGTGGATAAAGCCTTTGGGGTTTAGTAAGTACTTATTCCGATTCATTTTGCTGGCCACGTGGTACTGGTTAGGGAACTTGCAGAGGGAGCGATCGTTGTGGGCCATCTGAAAAGTGGGAAGGAGTTCGGTTAATGACTTGTGAATGAAGAGCTACAAGAGTAAAGGATAATTTCCGGACCTAGATTTTTGTCGTGTATCGTATTTCACCCCCATTTTTGTATCACATGAATCCGAATGAACTTATAAAGTGGACTACCTTGGGTCCTTCTTGATACAAGATGGCACAGTAGTAAGACAAACCGAACAACCAATGCGACCGAAATGAGGCTTACTTTTGACGAATCCTGAGGATATTCTCATATTGCCATCCAAAATTCTCCCAGCTGCTCTGCACCAGTAACTGGTATGCTTCAGAGAGTGGATACCAAGGTCAACGACATTTCAGTGAAGGTGATGTAGACGACCAGCACAGCTCACCGATTAGATGAATGTCAGGTTCCTGTTGTTGATTGGAAGTAATTGTACTCCTGTTTTCAGAACATGACAGTGAAACGCATACTATAGGTCGCGAATATGGCCGTTCTCAGTCCCGATGACACGGTTCCCATAGCAACCGAAGACTCTTAGATTCTTAATTGATTACTCATCCTCGTTCAGCCCCACACTTTCACTCTTCAGGAATATTGAAGTACACTGTAGAAAGGGATGTACTTCGCAAGATAGGATCTGCTTTTTATTACTAATACTGAGAGATTAAGATACGACCCGGGGTAACTGCTCTTTTTATTTTCAGTCTGTAAGCCACTATCGTCACATGGTGATGAACGTGCTCACTCCGTAAGCCGCTCATTTCTTTGTCACCTACGTTCTTCGTTTTCATTTGGCATGATGGCTTGAGCACTGTCCGCAATGGCGCCGCATATTTGTCGTTTCAGTCCGGTGATTTCTCCACTTTGAGTTCTGCGCTCCCACCTGTGCTCGCATTTTGGTTTGTTTGACCCCAGCACTCTTCCATTTTCACGGAGCTTACTGTCGAGGACTCATTCACCTTCACAATTTCCTATTTTTCCTCAGTTTTCATTTACTTACACTGTTCTTGTAGTTCGCGTATCGAACCTAAACTAACGGTATACAGAACCGACTGGTTCCGCGACTAATATTACTGAGTTATCTTTCCAGTCTCCGAATTGTACTGCATTACTAACGACATGTCAGGACAATTGCTCTCGATAGTGTGTTGCAGAATTGTCCATGAGTGTTGGTGGATCTGTCGGGCCGTTGATTTGGCGACTGTTGTTGTTGCATCCATCACATCAAAATTCTAGGGCTTTTTACCTATTACCGGATAGCTTTAATTGCCCACCTGATCGATTAATGCTTTTATCTGTATGTACTTCCTTACATTATGCCAGTCGACCGATTTCATCGGATGGATCTCTTCACTCAACTATGTGGAGGGTGGAAACGAGCCGCACGCGGGTGAACAATGGCTTGGCAGCTAAGTATGGAGACCATTACCAGCAAACTCGACCACAATGGTCAGTGCGGTCTCTCCGGTTGGCGACTCCTGAGATAGGGCACATCAATGGTTAGAGACACTGACGGACAGTGTTTAGTTTTTGTTTTGTTACATCGGCTGCTACCCCCAGTGCTCAGTTTCCTACCCGTATCTTCCCGGATCGTAGGCGGACGTAACCGTGGCCTATAACCACTGCACAATTGTTCGAAGTTTACAGCTGAAGGTGATGGTCGTGATGAAGCGAAGTTACTTTCGACATTGTCGGGCGATTGCTGTCTCCTTGCGACAAAACAGTCCAGATTGTTTTAGAAGGCAAGAGCTCCATAGGCCGGCGTCTTTGGTAGGCGTCATCATCACAAACTGGGTGCTTCACTTATTGGACCCGGGTTAAACTGGCACGAGGAACAAACAAAACTAGTATCTGAAGGCGGGTCAGCAAACAAATCAGTTCTCCATCAAGTGGTAGGTGGTTCCGATTCCCTTTTGCCCGTTATCCAAATTAGGTATCAACAGCCGTCTATTGCCGAGCCGTTGCTACAAGAAAGGATATTAACCTTCTGTCATATCCTACTTGGGACATATTTATTCGTTCCTCTTATCCATATCTGTGGGAGACGTGTGGATAAGAATTGTTGCTGTTGGTTCAAAATATCATACGACTCCTCACAGACCGTATTTCCAAGGGGAACACAATTTGGCCGATCCTGAAAGTGAATGGACTTCTTAGGGACACTTGGTGTGGTTATTGTTTTATCCCTTTGTTGGAAAAACACCCACATTTACCGGATCCCGGATGTCAGTTTTAGTCATTCCGAATTACTGAACTCAAAGATTTTCATTCCCGACTTTCTCAGTCATTCTAGTTTCCTGTTAGTAAACGGCTTGTGAATATGCCCTAATTTTTACTGATAAAACCGACTAAGTACTCGAATTTGTTCTCTTTCTGTTTACTGCATAAATGTCTCAGTTATTTTGTGCTGGGAAATCCCCATTCTCGCATCCTCGTACTGTTTGACTTCGCTACTCATATACCCAGTCAGTGTGCATCGGTTTTGTACTTGAACGCTTTTGACAGTCATCTCTACCGCACGGCGGCTGTATTCATTAGCACACCTCATCCACAGGCTCTCGTCTGCATGCCATTGCGGTCCTATAATGAGTCTGTGAAGTCTTTTAACTTAACCTTCGTATTTCAGATGGCACTTCTGTTCAATAAAGAAGGGCTAGAGCAAATCAGCTACCCCACACTTGTTCAACAGTTTTGGAATCATGATGGGGCGCTTTTTAAGGTGGCGGTCATAGGGGACAAAACATTCGTCGTAATGCGTCCATCGATAAAGAATCTGGAAATGGCAGGTGAGTGCTTTTTTGGTGTGTCCTCTGTTGTGTACTGGATTGTATTTGGGGCCTTGCTTGGCTAGTGCTCCCTGCACTTCTCTTCTAGTTCATCGGTAGGCTGTGTAGGCAAAACAAGAGAGAAGAAACATTTGTTCCAGATCGGAGACTAACCATGTTTTTTTAATAGACTAGCCGTGCCTGAAAATCACACGCCCATAAATCTGGACAGTACCAGCTAATCTACTTAGGAAGTTTGTTCCCACAGTATACAGGTGAGTCTCGCACGGGACTGTCAGAGTACTTACATTACTGTGGTTTAGGGATATTTAGGATAATGATTTTTCAATTATATGTGGGACTGGGGGAATATTCATAGGTGATTGTTGTTGCGTAACTAACGTCCCCCCTGACAGAAGCCGCGACGGAGCGCCACCCCGCTTCGACTGCCATATGTCCCATAGTTCCACCATGGACAAGAACATAGATTTGAGAAGCGGTATGCCTGAAAACTAAGCTGAATGAAACAGTGTTGGGAGAGAACAATAAGATCACTTCGCTCACTGACTAAATATGCATCAAGACGAAACAATGTAACATCAAACCGTTGGCTCGGCAATCAGACTTGAGACCCCATGTGATTTCCCAGCTACTGTTCCCTCTTCGAGGTTATCCACAAAGTGTATGTAGTTACTCATGCACCGTGTGACTGAAGCGGTCACACTGGTCACAAACACATCTAGTTTCAACTGCAGACTCAGCTGAATTCCTCTTTTGTGATCTTCTTCAACTGAACGCGCTGCACGAAGGCCGCTTCATGTCTCATTTCCTACGAAATTCGAGATGTCGCAGTATATTTTCTGGAAGGAAACTGCTCATTAGGTTGCTGGAAACCTTTCGATAGCCCACGACCGGTTTCGCCCTTCTTGGGGCTCATCAAGTAGGCACAGTACCCAATTTCTCGTCAGCCATGTTCTAATCGAACCTAAATTGTCCCTATCATTACTGTCCTTGTAAGTGTTGTGATTGTTCTCGGTGCGGATTTAGCACTGAGATTGCTTTCTGATTGTCATTTTCTTCGCAGATAATCGAAAACCGTTGTTTTTCAATTCCCATACGGCTTCGAAATTTAACCGAGATGGACCATTAGGAGATGTGAGTTCTTGGTCTATCTGCCTTCCGTGTCTTATGAAACCAGGCGCTGATCGAATACTAACTTTTATTCAGTTGAATCAATTAGTTAAGCATACACTGCCGGACTTAACCAAGCTGAGTATCAGTAGATTTGAAAACGTAGCCGCTTTGTTGTTCTGGCCGGAGAAGACATTTTATTGCGATCTTCTAAACACCGTGATCCACATCTCAGTGGGCCAGAACTCACTCAGACAGATTAGGCCATCTTTATTTAGGAACTCGATTGGTAGGAATTACTCTTGGTTTGTTCAGGGTGCCAGACATAACAACATTCGTCAAGTATTCCAACTATATTCATCTCTGTGATGTTTGCTCATGGTGGCCGAGAAGTTGTTAGTCGAAATCTGCTCTACATAGTCGTATTCCGCCCCCTGTGTTCCGGCTTTCGCGGTTCAAATGGTGGAAGAAACAGAACACCTCAAAGTTGGACAGCTACATAAACCAGAGGCCCAAGTTTAGCTCCGTCACTTTGTTTTTCGGGCGAACTTGATCCCGTTTGAGCTAAGTTGTTGTTTCGGATAGAATATCGTAAAAAGAATCTCATATAATCCACGTAGCATGTTCTCTGGCTTGACTGGAAATGCTTGGTCTTCTTCATATTCTCTTGTTTTGTTTATTCATTTTGTCTTCCTGTTTAACCTTAAACACCCATGGATTAAAATCGTGTTACTTGGCTTCGGCGTTTTACATTACGTCCTGCAAAATTTCAAAGGCTACTGTCTCCTTCGCCAGTACTTCCCTCATAAAACGCTGCATAGAGTGCTGCAGGTGTTCAACAATGAGGTGTCACCCCTAGACGGTTTCAACCAATTAAGTGCATCGATCTCATCTGTACGCACAAACAAGCATATTAGGTATGGGACGATACCAGAGGTTTGGTTGCTGCATATTTGTCCCCAGATGACCTTAATAATCACAGTTTTCTCTGAAACCTGAGCCGCATGAATGAATCCAGTTACTGAGTAAGCAGTTCGTTAGGTTTTTT